ACATAAAGCCAAATCCCATGCAGACCAGTCCATATAAAACCAAATTGAGTACTCAGCATCCACCTGAAAAATGCACTCCATATTCCTGGAAAAAACACAGACTATTTTGCACTCATTACCATTGGAGAACAATCTTGTCCTGTCACCATGTAATATTAAATTCATTTAGTGTATAATCCTGAAGTTGCAGCCTGATGACTAACACATTTCTCCAGCTTTCCAAAAGGGGAGTTCTAGACAGTTACCTAGACTCCATTTCCATTTGATGGCCACAATCTCTGTTAAGCAGACACCTATATCTGGTGCTAACATATTTTCCTAATGAAGAGCTGAAGGGAGTCATCAAACTCTAGCTCTGTGTTATGGTACATACCTGTTTGAAATGAAGAACACATCAAAATCTTGAAACTGCAAACACTTTCTGTTCTTTAGCAGAGAGCAGACCAGGGTGCTGGTGTAGGGCCCTCTATACTGATGCTACCCATGCTGCAGCATGAGCAGCAAGAGCAACCCATGCTGAAAAATGTGGCAGGGAAAATTTGGGGACCAGCTGCAGGTGCCTCGCCTCAGACTGAGCAGTTACTGAGTCCACCTGATGCACTGGGCAGTATGGATTTCCAAGGAGCTCAGAGCCCTAAGACTGCTTGGTCACTTTTTCTGGCTATGGCTTCAATCTCTAAACAAAGACTTTCTGCATCAGCTTCCCCAAAAACTCTCTTCTTACTTGAAACACTTGACACTGCAGCTGGCTTTGTATTCAAAACCAGCAGCATTACTTCAGGCTGCAGCTCTACAGGGCTTACTTCTTAACTCAATTCTCCTCTTATTAATTCAGTCATTACTTTGAAGTAACTCCATGCCATGACACTGGACTTACTTAGGGCTTTTTCAGTATTGGGAAAAGCTGACCCATGGACCCTACAAAAGAAATGACTGTCTGAAATTTAATGAAATACAAGCTAGAAGAGGTTTTAGAAGATGTCTACTGGGGCTTGGAATCAGAGACAGTGATTGGGAAGAAAGATAACTTTGATCTTGTATTCTTAGCATTTGTAATTAAGTCTTTAAACAGCAAGAAGTTTCTGTCCTTCATCTCCTGATCCTAGATCACCTCACATATTTAATGAAGACGGGTCCAGAAGCTTTTCTGCAAACACATTGTATAGGCAATGAGAAACACCACTGTTGTGAGCACTGGATTGTCCCAAGTGTTACAGAGCTGGAGAGGGAGCATCTGAAGCAGCATCAGTTCTGCCACCCCATCTTGCTGCCAGGCAGACGGGTGTTAAATGCTATTTAAGTGCTCACCAACATGAACAGCAATGCCAAGTCCGTCATTAATAAGAAATTAGCAATGTTGCAAGGGTCTTTGCTACTGCTTGTAAGACTGATTCAGGAGATCTCTCCCAGTGTAGCTGAAGGCATTGCTTGTAGCAAAGTCCCTTGCAAGAGTAACACTTGCCACCTCCAAACATTGATCAACAATCCTGTTTGGGACCTTCAGCTCCCCATGGGATCATTACCCTATGCCAAAATTGTGAGATTTTTTCCCACCTTTCATCAAACACTCTGACCAGTTGTTTGCACAACACGCTACTTAATAATACCCCATCGGGAGCTGCTAATAAGTGAGTTCTCAGAGCAGCAGAGGCAGCACTGGGGTAAACCCCATAGTTATTATACCTCTCTGTGTTAGAAAAGGAGAGCAGATCCCACTTGCACAGCTCTCCTTCCAGCTTGCTCAGAGAGCTGAGCCTGCCCTACTTCTCTGTGTTTCCTGAGAAGCTTTGTCTCTAGCAGGCAATCTATTACTGCAACACATTTTCTCCTCTATTTTCTAATCCCACTGCACCGTATCTCTGATGACAGTCCAAAGGAATTAATCCTGTAACTTTAATGTTATAATTATCTGAGTTTGAACTTCCTCCTTTTCGCTGTCCAAATCTTCCTGTCTCTGGACGAAGAGTCTATAAAGTAGTACAAGGGAAAACAGATGCAGCTGTTGCTTAATAAGTCATTGTATCTGTGAAAAGATATCAGAGCTATATCTTCAATTATTCAGAAATTTCAATGAGAATACCTATGTTCTTTAATATTTATGTTTGTGTTTCCATATATATGTGTATTATTTTTTAATTGTGATCCATGTGACCTACATGAAGCAGGAAGACAAATGTGACCATACCAATGTGGTAATTCTGCTGGCAACAACATCTCTCATTGCTATGTTGATAAATGTCTGAGACAAAATTTATGTCTGGGGTTTGTTATGCCATGCACTATGTAAATCACTAAGAAAAAAAAAGAGTGAATTATGACTAACCATTTGTTTGATCTCATTCTCCTGCATCTGGTGATCAAATAAATGCATTTCTGCATAGGGAAAAAAAAAGAAAAAAAAGAAAAAAAAGAAAAAAAAGAAAAAAAGAAAAAAAAAGCTAAATACATTATTATATATTATGAGAAGTTATAACAAACAAACTGATATTCAGGCTTTTAATTTCTGTGGTGCACATTAAAAATCAAAGCATGACTTTTCTCATTTCATGCAGCAGATCCAATCTATTTAAACCTATACTTTAAATCAATGCATACACATAAAAGTGGTAATATACAGCCTTCATAGATCATTGTATGAACAATCACATTATTGAGGAGCTATACTCAGCAGTTTTAGAATGGTTCTGTGGGACACTCTTTAGTGCACAGTCCTTAATATAAAGCAGAAATTATTACCAAATAGCACACATTTCATCACTGACCATGAAATATTTGTTTCCTAGCTGCTTCTTGCTGTAGCATACCTTGCAAAGTTGCATACCTTGCCCCCTGCATTGCATACTGAAGAAGATGTGAAGGCTGCCTTGTTGGCATGGTTATTCTTTGAAACCCAGCTTCTGGAGGACTCCCACAGTCAGGCAGTGGTGGCCTCAGAGCAGCTCAGGCACTTGTTAGCCTAGCTGTCTATTGGGCTTGTTTGTACTGTAGTCGGTTATACTCAATGGGGATGAGGATACTGCAGTGGGTTTGAGGACAGACAATTCTCAGGTGGAAACATTCATTCATTCTAAAGCTGAAATTCTGTGGCCAACAGACCTTCATCTCTGTTTCACTCCTTGCAGCTGTAAAAGTATCTGCAGAGACTAGAAAATCTGAGACAAGGACTTCTCTTATCTGAAGCTCTGTTGCCTGCATGATAGCATATCCCTGTTCATGACAGCAATTCTTATGTAGTGTGAAAATCCAAGCAATGCATACAGCACCATACATTTGTTGTCCCTAGAGTTACTGCAAGCCTTGTCCTCTGTATCTTTTTATTCTCACTGGTGAACTTCTGCATCCCCTCTTCTGGTTTATTCCTAGTAAAGCTGGACATACATGCAAGTCCATAACATCTTTAAGCACATGCATTTAGATTCTCTGCCTTATTTTCAGAAATCTTAAACATCATTCATAGCAAAGGAGATATAAAAGTAGCACAGAGAGTTAACCATTAGTAGGTACCTAGCATTACAGAAACTATCTAATCTCATGTCATCAGATTTTGCTTAGGGATCCCTTATCTGAAAAGCTCACCTTCTTGAAGCAGTACCGATTGGTTTTCTCTGATTCTGCACCCATCAGCATTTTTTAAAAGAAAGGAACACTAACAGGAATACAAGTAAAATTAACAGTATGGAGCAGAAATGTATCAGAATAATATGGGGTGTAAAGATCTAGAACTAAGCAAAAACTAGCCGGAGCATGATGGTGTACAATTCATAACAGTAGAACTGAAAGTACTCAGGAGTCCTGAGGCACTTCTGGATGTTCCTCAACTCCATACTTTCTCTACAGCCGGTGTCCATTGATGAGTCTCTTGGGGGTGCTTTGCTAGAGAAGCAAAGAATGAAAACTGAGCAAAACATTTCCTCAGTACACATTTCATAAAATATTTAACATACACTCAATAAAACCCAGAAATGTCTAAAGACGTTGAGAAAGAAAAGTTAGGTAGTGCATCACTGATCCCTAGCTTTTCTATGAATATGATGTTGCATTTCATTTATTACATCCTTTGGAAACAAAAGCACACAAGCCTGGTGCACAGTGCATACTCTCTCTTTCCTTAGGTGATTACTGCTACACTGTATGTGCTCTGACTTTGATGGTATGCCTGCTGAAACTGAAGACTCTCATCAGGAATGAAACTTTGTCTTGATCTGTCTGCACAAATGTGCTCTGGCAAAATCTGATCAGAGTAATGCAGGAATGAAAGTTTGATCTAAGCAGTTTGTTTTTGTCAGCTCTACAGTCACTCAGTACGAAATGCCACAGATTGATGACTTTCCTCCCCCAACACAAAGCTTGAGTGTGAAAGATATGCAGTCATTTGGGGAAAGCTCAAAGACAGAAAACAAGGGATGCAAAGAACTGGGATAAAACTTCAAGGCTAAGAATGTATGTAAAACTGTCACTTCATAAGCGTCAGCATCAAGTGATTTCACAGGGTAAGCCTAAGATCACAATGATTCTAACTGAGATTAACTGAAAAGGAACCTTTTCCACATTTAAGAAATGATCTTAAATCCTAAGTCTAGCTATGCAAATTTCCAGTGTCCGTGTTTTCTCTCAGAGAGAGCACATCTAGAGAAGTCTTGCAGCCTGGACTGGCAGCTAACACAACACCTAAAACTTCATCAGCACACAAATGAACATATAACCTAAGCTCAGAGCGTTGTCATATTCTTCTTCAAGGAGAATCCACACTGAAAGTACTTTTTTTTTTTTCCTTTTTCCCCCAGCAAACATAAAAAAAAGTGCACAATAAAATAATCTTCGAATGCAGGTTTTGTAGGTGTGCTTTAAAAGGATTGTTGGGACGCTGTGCATACATGAGACCTTGTAGTTACCCAGCCAGAGGGAGTTGAGATTTAAAACTTGCCAGCAAAGGTTTATATGCACTAAGTCCTGGGTGATTCTTTATCCTCCAAGAAGTTAAGCTGCTGGCTTCCTGAGGAAAAAAAAAGTAGTCAGAGGGATCTGAAAGGAAATACATGAAAGGTTCTGAAAGGCTCTGTAGGAAATGCATCCTGGTCTGGCAAGAGAGAACAAGACACAGTGAGACATCCAAGCGTCTGAGATGAAAGCCATCTGTATCATCTCATAAATCTGCCAGAGTAAACAAAGAAATATATGTAAGCTATGTGGCTTTTATATAGAGCAAATATACACTTAATCTGCCAGTGAATCACCTTTTTCACACAAAGATCATCAGTGATCCCTAGCAGAACAGCTGCTCAGTCACATTCGGCTCTGGCCTCAGAAAACTCCCACACCAATGTCATGAGTAAAAAGCTATAAAAGAGCTGTTCTGCCAGGTTGGAGGGTCAAATAGCAGCCTGTAAATGTTTGTTATAGAGGAGAGTGTGACTACAGATATTCATCCTTCTCTCTTAATGGCCTCATGCAGAAGTAAAGATCAAGCAAATTTTTCATGAGAGACTAAAAGGTCGTCACAAGAAATGAAAAATTCCCATCACAGTTTATTTTTCATTTTGTTCGAGTGTGAGTCTCAGCTTCGAAATTGCCTTGGTTTTATTATTTTTCTCATGAAAAAACATATATTAGAAAATCTCAGCTCCTGAAACACTGATCTAGAAAGACCTGTTGATTATCAGCCTCTTCTGAAGATTTTCACTCTTTTCATCTCCTCAAAACGAGAGTGATTTAAAAATCCCAGTACCAAAGAAGAAAAAGTTCTGTTTCAAACAAGAATCGCTAACTAAAACAAGCTCACTTTTTCTTATATGCCATTAAGTGCATTATCTCATGTTCTCTCTTCAGCTCTTACCTACAGAATTTATATTACTACAACCAAATACATAAATTTTAGAAAAACAGTAATTTAACAGTAATTTACAGAAAGAGTGTCTTCCCTTCTAAGAGTCAGAAACTTCTCTGAGATCTTGACATTTTATTTGGGCTTACATATTTCTTTGTTCTTTACAACAGTCATTTTGATCTTTAAGAACAGATAAAGGTTTTGTTTGCCAAAACAAAAAGTGCATGTGCATATTCACCTGTGCATACTGACCTGACAGTCCCTCCTGGACACATTTGAATCTATTGGCCAAATCTAAGTAAGAAAGAATGTCTTCAGTTTTTCATTTCTTTGTTGCATGAAGCATCAAGAATATGAGGAGACTATACTTCCTCCCTATAGAGAAACGTCTACAACCTCTCCTGCAAACCATGCAGGACTCTAAATAAGGCTGCATCTCCATGCACAGCAGTGACAGTTCCAAAGCTTCAGTGGTTTTGCTGTACAGTCACTTATTTCCAATACAGGTAAGAACAATCCTGTCTACTGAGAATTCTCAAGCATTACAGCAGCTTCCATGGATTGTCTGTAGTGGATTTTACCCTGATTCTTGGCAGTGAGCTATTCACAAACTATGTAACAGTGTTATCTTTCATCTGAGACGTGCAGAAAAGTTTTCAGTACCAAAGGAGTAAGGAAGTAAGTAATGGTTGATTACCATAGAACATCACTGACAGAGGTTTTGTTTCTGTAATTCAACAGGTAAAATAAAGATATGACATGTGAATGCACAGATAACTGTATTTTTTTTTAGAGTCTCTCTGCAAGTAGCAGAAGTGCTATGGATCCACCATTCCTCTGCTCAAAGGGAGGAGAGAGAAGAGGGTGGATCTTTGGTTTTATGTCCTTAGTCTATGGCCTAGTTTACTAGCTGTATTTGCATTGTATTCACATTGTTAGTATTCCTTTCCTCACAATTCTGATACTTCTAATCGAATGTACATTTTGAAAGTAAGTACACTAATGTTCTTGGAAAGCCCCAAAACTGTTCTCATCATTCACTGTGAACTGCAGCAACCATGAGACCTCTCTACCAGGTACCATAATCTTCAGAATATTGCCCAAAGCAGAGAACCCTGGGACCTGAACTTTCAAAGTGTTTCCACTTGCTTGCTGACATGGTTCCATAGATTTCTGTTCTCATTCTCCTCACCTCACTTTTGTAGACAATCATGAAGTCAGACAATACTGAGCCCCACTACTGAAGAGCAGAACAAATACATTGGTATTAAGAGAAGTAAACTTAAAAGTCAGAAAGAAACCATAATGCCTTTTTGCATAAACTTTTTCCCACAGGAATACAAGGCAAAACCACAGGTCTGATTACCCATCTATTGGAAAGAAGGCTCTTTGTCTCATCATTAAGCACCTGTGAATGTTAATGCTGCCCTGTGCTTCCGTGTGGGATCTTTACATCTCTGTCTTGCTGCAGCACACAAAGAGTAAAAGCCACAGCCATCTATCTTCTTGAAGAAGTTAATTTCCACTTACCAATGTGCTACACGTTTGGTTTTCAAGAGACAGAATTTGACCACTCCCTAGTTTTAGAAGTTCTTCTTACTTTCTCCAACCATAGTGAATTTTACTTTTAGATAAGTCCACACATCTTACTGTGATCATCTCCCCTATCTGTTTGCTGCCTGCCCAGTTTTCTCCAACTCTTCCTGAGATCTATGACATTCATCTTTTTCCTTCACACATGACCAATATGAAAAAACATCTGCTTCTCCCTCTTAGCCTGATCAAACACTATTTAGCTTCTTCAAAATTAACACTGCAATTTGTAGGCTGGAGAACAGAAAAGGCAAGTGCCTCAGTGATCTCAGAAACAATCAAATCCATTCCATTTTGATGGACTTTTATTCTTTTTCTCCCATCCTGCAGAATATTTGCAGTTCTTGGAAAAGGAAGGACAGGGAGCTGTTTCCTCAGCTACTTTATTCTGGAAGACTGCTAGATGTGGCAGGTTTTGTAAAATCAACAGTAATTTAAGTAGAAGGATGCTATCTTCTCCTGTGAGTCTGACACTGATTGTGTTTTCAGTCGAAATACTATCTCACATTAAAATATAAAATAATACATATAGTTTATTTACATAGCAAGCATTTCTGATATCTGTTTATTATTGTTATACATTAATATATATAGACAAGCATTAGGCTTTAAAAGCACAGAGACATTGGTCTATGGGAAAAAGGCTTTGAGACAGTGGGATCAAACATCATGCAAAACAAGCCAGATTTCAGCATGTTCTATTGGAGGCATGATATGTTATCTAATGATCATAGTTAGAGATTAGCACATGTCCTTCTGGAAAGATGGATTTCTCCAGCTGCCAGATTGAAAAACTCAGGCCTAGAGAGATGATACTAATGTAAAACTGCCCATGAAAAGGACAGAATGCTCATGTCAATCAGTTCTTGTGATCCCAAATATTCATCATAGGATGCTGTATAACAAGGTCACAAAAAAAGGCATGACAGCCCAATTCTAGCTGTAAAGATTGTGTCATAGAAAACCTCCAATTTTTTCCATAATCAAAACAGAACCCTAAAAAAGTGCTGAGGAGTGATATTGCACTCATAAAATGGGTTCCCACATGCTTATATTTGAAGTAGCTGAAAACAAGACATTTTCCCTGAACACCTGAAGAAGGAATGTAAATTGAGAGATTTCAGAGGGAATATGATCTTATTACTTTCCATGGAGGGAGTATTAGTAATACTCAGGCCGATGAGACTAAGGGAGCAGACTTGACACCATACACACTGCAATACAAAAACTCAAATGCTACTTCAGAAGCAGCACAGACTGCAGAGCAACGCTGTGATTTGTCCATAGGCCCAAAATATAAGAAATGGTCCCACTGTGCACAGTGTGCTCTTTGCAAAAAGTCTATCCATGCACTCTGCAGAACAACTCAAGGAGACCCGGGCAGCTGGAAAACAGAATGCAGAAAGGGGAACTGCCCACAAAATCAGTCTACACAAATTCATGATCAGGCTGCTGCCACAAGTTAGCACCATCATTCCTAAGAAATCCTATAAAGAGAATAAGATTTTAATTTGAATATCTCAGATTTTTATCAGAAATAATTTAAGCACAAGTCATAATAATAGTAAAAAAAAAAAAGAATAAACAGGCTTCAACAGAGAATTAATCTTCATCTCTTCTTCGTATCTTGCTATCTTTTCTTACTCTCTCTTTCAAAGGTAATACTAACATTTGCCTGGTCTTCATGTTATATTGAGTACCTTGAAAGTAAATAAGGAGGCCAAGTACTAGCCATAAAGAAACCAAAGTGTGAAAACACAAAGCAAGCAGAAGAACACATAGATCAGTTGTGTTGCTTATACTGCCCATATCCCAATTTGCTCCACTTTACCCTATTCCTTCATGGTCGTTTCTGCGGAGGAAAACAATGTTACAGAGCTTCTGGTTTAAAAGCCATGCTGATGAACAAAAACTTTTCATATTTCACACATCTGAAGTAGTGACATGAGTACTGAATTTCTGTTTTGCAGCACTGCTTAACTTCTTTTTGAAAACACAACAGATACATTACTGTGGATTCCTTCCCTACAAGGAGAAATTTGAACTCTTTACAACGAAATCTGAAACTTGAACAAAATAATTCAGAATTTTTCTCATGGTCTTTCCAGCCAAGCACATTGTGTTTTACAAACTGTCTTATTTAACATAAAAGAATGGGTCCTCAAGTCTGCCCCTTATCATTTCGATTACTCCAGTGAAATGTCCAAGGAATAAATTTGGACATAGAATAAATCTCATTTAAACAAATGTAGTCCAAACCTAACAAAAGTGTGATTAGTTTGAATTCTTCAAATATACATACCACTTGAATGATTTCGTCTCTTCATCCCCATTAAAATCTATGTCCATTTAAATAGAAAATTTCAGATCAATATGTGTATCTACTTCTTGCCTGCCTCAGAGATTTCCATAATGTGAGACTGCTGGTTGTTTCCTGCCTAGCTGCATATAGTTATCATAAGGATACCTTCTCAGACCAGCAGGATGTTGGGGCTACATCAGAGGCTCCCAACAAGCAACATGAGAATTCACTTCTCACACGCTTGTCAAGGGCATCTTTTAGTCTGATCTTTAGGCATGATGATGGTGATTCATCTTCATTGTTGATAAGCATAATTACTTCTGGTGCAATTAAAAAAGTTACAGTTCTTTCCATATACACCTTCTTATTCAATAGTGCCAGTAACCTGGACGCACGTACATCTGCGTCTTTAAATTTTCAAGCTTCAGGAAGACTCACAGCAGTAAAGAACTAAGCTCAGATACCTATTTCTGATATCTATTATTTGATAACTATTTTGATGCAGAGGATGAACAGTGACTTAGAGAAGAGGCTGTCAATGAGCTATACAACATGGCTGAATGTCTCATGTCTGCATTTCTGCTTTAGAAGGAGGGATTACTTTTTAGCACTGAAATACCACATATGTCTTAGCCATAGAAAATAAAGCATAACTCCTTGTTTTCCATTCCATACAGATGAAAATTCTTTTCCCCTTAAAGGGCTTTTTTTTTTTTTCAGCTAAAAAACAAGGATCCAGGGCTTTCTGCTCTCATTGCACTTAGCACTACTACCCGCACAGAGGAAATATGCGCAAAGAAGTGAGATGTGTGGGATGTTATGACTACCATGACCCATGTTCTTGAATTCATTCATATCAGTGATTAATTTTTCTTATAGTTACAGAAAGCTGCAAGCTAAAGGCATAGAAGGGCATTTGTAAAATAACAATGAACATGGCCAGAAGGCAGGGAACACATTCTGAATGCTGACTCACATTTCCTCCCTTGCTGCCTTCAAAGCTCTTCTACTTACAGTTAACAGCTCAATCTACAACACCAGTGCCCTTGCCACCCCCATTCTTAAACTTTTTCTTCTACTCCTACATTTCTAATTTGCTTCTGACTCTTGCAGAGCCACTGTGTTCTTGATTCATCCATTACCTCAGACAGTCCCTTAGGCACCGCAACAGACTCCACAAAAAGACTGCTGGAGTAAATCTGAAATAGAGTGAAAACAGTCCTGGGCCTAATTTAGATGACATTTTACTAATTATGAATAAATATACTATGGAACCACCTTCATGAGTCAAATTGCACTTTTTTTTAGAGGTTACTTAGTCTGCAAGTTCAAAAGAGCATCCTTCAAAGGATGAGGCTGATCTTAGCTTCACTTACAGAACCCAAATAGCTCCTTCACAAAATATGACTGGGAAACCATCTCACAATTTAAAAAACCCTGACATTCTATGCCCCAATTTTTCATCATCATTAATTTCAAGAAAGATATAGCCCACTCAAAGCCCTACTATATACAACTTAGTTGTCTTCATAAAATAACCTATCTTCCAGGGTATATATTACAGAACTGACCAGAGAAAAAGTAGTAGAAAGATATTCATACATTCATTGTTTTCTCATATTTGCATGCATGAGGAAATTGCCATTTTCACCATTTTCAAAGGTAGGAGACACCGGGTATTCCATCAAAACCCTGTCCTGCAAAGTCAACAATGTTATGCAACTTGTATTCTTGTTCAGAATACAATCATTTCCTAGATATAGACTACTTACTGTTTCTGTTTTAGATATTTACTTAAGATTTGAGATAAATAAACCTTAGTGAATTAAACCTGCCTAAGAAGAAAGCACAATTGAACAGCACGTCCTTATCTCTACAGCTAACACTGTGTTGGGTACTGGTGGTCAAACAAGAAGCTATGCTTTGAGGTTTCTTTTTTTTTTTTTTTTTTTTTTTTTTCAAACATAAGAACCACCATAGGCTTTCTGATTGTAATTCTGAGTAATTAGAATTATACATAAGATAACCTTTGTCAAAATCAGAACTGTATACGTGCATCATAGAAACTATTAACTCATCTGAATCCTTTCACAATATGGCTGCAAATGAGAATAAAAAGCATGAACTCTACATGGAACACATGGAAATTTCGCAGCCAACACGCTGCCTATTTGAAGGAAGAATGCAAGGTAAGGAGACAGTCCAGAAGCACATCCTCTGTCACATGAGTAAGCTCAGCAACACCCTCCTGTCCTAGAAAAGAGTAGCTATGAATTCACTCATGGCACAGACACTACAGCACTTTGTATTTTCACAGCTGAATCTAAATTACCATTCAGATTAATGGTTTTAAATACAGATTGAACTTCTCCAGCATAAAATCAACTTGTGAGGAAGTTGATTCATATGATATTACAAAAACGCCAGTGCCAGAAAAAAAACAATCTCACTGGAAGAATTGATGTGGATCTCTCAGCCACAAACCATGGTTAAGATGTTATTTCCTCGCAGTCATATAAAATATTTTCAGTATTCTGGAAGTTCAAGTAAAATCTGAAAATCCATCCATCATCAATTTTCATGAGGATGTATTACAGAGGACATTGAAAAGTCTTTCTTGAAAGTTTTGTTCTTTTTTCATGCTCCCAAAACTGGAAAAAAAAAAACAAAAACATGCAAAACCAAAATCCATAAGTACATGTATTTATTAACACTGGATTTTTAAATGCAGAGATACTATTATTTCAACTATTGGCTTACAATTCTGCTCCATTGTTCTTGATGCCAAAACAAAAGAGAAAGAACACCTTGATCTACTGCCTTTTGATCAGAAGAGTCAAACTGGGGATTCAGATATTTATGCACAAATCTCGTTAATAGCAGAACCAATTATATTTGCACATGAACAAAAAATATGCCTCAAAAAAGCACTAAAAATTAAGAACTTTTGCTATCTTAACAATCTACTAACAGAGAGAAGATATTAGCATACATGGAGAAAATATATATACTTAGGATACTAAGATGAAGTTCTCAAAATCCATGTTACTTTGATTGCTACAACGTTGAAAAGCAAATTAGTTTTTTAATATGGACAACCAGTTTTGACACAAATAGAAATAGCTCTTCCTCAATTCCATAGTTTTATCTAAGTATGATTTAGTGAATGCAGTTTTCAGAATAGCCCTTTGTTTACACCTGTCCTTTGTTTTATCAAGTTAAAAGCTGACTTCGAAATCAGTGGTAATGAAGCAGTTTGCTATCCTTACCTATTTTATATGAATATCAAATATCAACAGTGCTCTCTTTTATTAATGTGCATAACTGGTGCAGCTCAGAGTAGAACACACTTAGTTTGAAAACAATTTCCAAAAAATATGGTTTTATTTTGAAAACAATTACTTCTCTTAACTGCAATCTCTTTAATTTGTAATAAGGCAAGCACCAAGAGACACAGGCAATAAGAAATTATTTTATATTCATTAGTAATGTCTTCTTTCTTCCTTCATACTAATAAGAAAAGCTAATGCTAAAGCAGTTACGAAGAGCCAAACAGATTTTTAATTTCCATTTTAGTAGTAGGATTTTCAAATGTAAATTTTATCCTCTGAAAGTGAAATTCCCATCTCAAAGTTTCAGCCTCCAAACCTACAGCTGGAGTCCTGTGTAAATACAAGAGGATCCAAAGCAAGACCACTTCCTAGTTCTAGAGATCACCTCATTGAAGGGCAACAAACCTGAGCCAGGTCCTAAAGGAATGATGCGCTCACCATCCTGAAATACCGAGGCTGAGTTGGGCGCCAGTTATCAACCAGGGGGAGATTAGGTTCGTTCTCAGCATTCTTTGATAAGCTACGGAGCTTTGCCATCTGCAGGAAAGCAAAATCAAAGTGTGGTCATGGAACTCTCTTGGGATAGAATCCATAAGCCCTGTAGTTAAAGAAAGAGGACATCCAGATCCAGAAGCAGGAGATAAAGCCTCCTTCAAATTTTGAGGACGTTCTTCACCCTGTCACCACAATAACTGTACTCACCTTGTTTTTGTACAGTAATATTCTCAGAAATAATGAAGAGACAAAAAACAGGTCACATGTGAACTGCATTGTGAGAAATTAAGTACCATCACATATGCATTATCTACAGAACTGACAACAGCTACGGAAACAGTAGGAAGTCCTCAGAATATGCCTCTCCTCAGAAATGGCTCTGGGCAGCCTGGTCTGGTGGTTGGCAACCCTGCACATAGCAGGGGGGTTGAAACTACATGATCATTGTGGTCCTTTTCAACCCAGGCCATTCTATGATTCTATGAATATGTGACTAGAACAGCCTAACAAACTTCTACTATTAGCCTATGTCCTAATAAACTTCTACTTTAACCCCACCTTAATGTCTGACTGTTTACCAGCAACCAGCAACTAGAATTGAAAGGTGTTAAAGGGTGTTAAGACTGAATGATAAACTAATTGATCACTTCTGTGGTGGGTCTGTAGCAGAGAATATATCTTGGTGCTGAGACAAATACATTACTAGTTAAACCTGGATAATGACCCGGTCAAGATTTCAGATGGACTGTAAACAGGGTCTGCAGCTTCACTTTCTGGTCTTTTTTTTTTTTTTCTTTTTTTTTTTTAAATCAAGCTGTATTTTTTTTGAGAGATGCCATAAAAATTCTGCCCATATTCTTCAAAGCCATATAATTCTCTTCCCCTACTGCTCTCTGATTTTCAAAACCATACACCCACTCACAGATACATTCTGTTCATTTGTTGCCACTGCCATGTATGACATTAGACAGAAAGCATATCAGCTGTGATTCACACACTTGACATTTCCCTTTCCCTGGCTTACTGTGAAGAGGATGCATATATTTCTCCTTGTGTACACCTGAAAACTTATCCCCACGCACATCAGAAGTTAAATTTCCTCACAACTAGCTTCAGAATGCTGATGTATCTACATTATATAGCACAGAGTTCAAGTCTAATAGAAGCAGAACTTCTGTCTGGGCTGTTAATCCACATTCACCACATCTCTATTCATTCTAGCTTATGGGCTGGGCCAGCTCACGGATCTCAGTGTTGTCCCTCACTGCCTCACTGTACAGCTTAGAAAAAGCGTGAGCAATGACAGAATCACATTTACACTCAATATGTATCAGATGGATTATGCATCTGAAACTAAGTTTCCTATTTCAAATGAAAAGTAATTTGTATGGGAACAGTAGGATATGAAAATAGTTCATCACTTCTGCTAATACTGAAAAAGTACTGCTAAAGAAGATACTAGTGGTTTTTATTATGTTTTGGAAGATGGGAAAAAGATATACCTACTGAGCAAAACAAAATAGCATAACCAAGCTAGCTCCAATCCTCTGCCACGGGCAGGGTCATCATCCATTCGATCAAGCTGTCCCCCACCCAACGTGGCCTTGATACTTCCAGCTACATAAGGGTGGAAAAAATGAGTCTGCAATTGGATAGAGGAATTCCAAAGTTAAATCCTACCCTTTAAAGAAAGTTAACCTGAACATCCAGGCTGCCCACACTACATTTATCATAGAAGTTTCCGATGAACTGATTTTTCCCGCAGAGTACTGTTTCTCAGTGACTGTATTTATCCTTGTGGCTAATATGCTACTACCAGCTGGCTGCAAAAACATCCAAGTGATGCACATGCACTTAAAATAAATACTAAATAAATAAATACTGCAATGACAGCACACTTTCCAGGATTAGAAGTAATTGGTAACATGACTGGTTTTTTTTATTAATGCATCATATGGACTGCAGACACTGGAATAAGAAGAGTCTATTGTACTCGTATATGGCACCACATACACACTGATAATTCTGCCTGTAAAAAGTTATCTCAGGAAAAAGCCAATGTCCCATCTCTGTGTAGAAACTTTCTTTTCATCTTAAATGCTCTTTTTTTTCCCCGCAGTAGGACTAGTTCCGTATCTGCCTGTATATCTCCCAAGACTCACTAACTTCAGATAAGCCTGGAAAAAGACTACAGTTCAAATACATCAGTGATCCAAACGTCTTCTCAGAGAGCTGGATCAATGACATGATTAGCCATCCCTTGCAAAACTCATTTTAAATTAGAGATGCTCAGCAATGACTACCTCTTCCCCAACAAAATTTGTAGTTTGTCATCTATGGTATAAATCTCTAAGCAGATTTGTTAGTAACCAGTCAAAGCATATCTGTATTTTTCACACAAGCACCAGCTTAGAAATATTCTGTGTATTTTAGTTTTTGGATGGGCACAGAAACAGAAGATGGATCAAATAAATAAGCTGTGAAAATTACACTGTAAGTTATATGAGTACATTACTATGTTTCACCTCTTGCCAGCTAAGGTTCACAGCACACCTGAATTCTATTCTTTGAAAGATAAAAAGCCAGATAAATACATTGAAGCAAATAGATTTTTTGTGATATATGCCCATCAATCAATGCAGTGAAATTCCTCATCATCTGCTGATCTAAGATGAAAAGTTGTGTCCACATATAATGTCTACATAACATCTGTCACTTGATTGATGTTCAACTTCTCACTGTGCTGAAATATTAAAAAAATCTTAAATCTTAAAATTTGTGCTATCACATTTGCTAATTAGAGGAATAATCTCAGATTTAAAAAATTAGTACAATCACTGGGTGATGAAAAAGGGCATTCAAATGTATATAAACGAGAATGAGGGGGAATGAGCATTAACACAAACACAACTGTTGGTGTAAAGCCAACAACAATCTTTAGCTAAATGTTTCATTGTTCCGATTTAAATGGTCACAGAACACAGGCTAATGGCTAGAGCTTTCCAATATTGGGTCTTGGGAAAAGCAGGGTTTAGAGCTCAGTGTGAAATAAAAGGTGCAAACCACATCCAGCTCTTTCCTTTACTATTAACAAGAGTTAATACCAGGAGAACACAGACAGGGAAACAAAAAGAGGACAGCCTCTTTTCTTCAGCTGATGTCACAGAAGGTCTTTTGTCCATGGGAGCAATAACTTTCTGTAGTATTTACATTCTACAGTAATTACTGCAATTACTGTAATTACTGTAGTAATTACTGCTTGCTATCAATCCTGCCTCCAACTATTATTAACTCTTAACATCTCCATTGTGTTACAACTTTCCGGATTCATAAAGCACGCTGATATCAGCTCATTTAAGCCCCTTTTCAGATGGGGACATTGAAACAACCAGTTTTGTTTTATTATCTTGGCTCATGATACCAGAGGCAGATATTGGCGATATGATAGTAGAGGCTGAACTTTCTGTCAGTATTGCATAACATTCTGTTGGCAAGTGACAAATTGCAGCAGAGGGGCAATCTGACAAAATGGCGTCTGACATGGAAGTGCGTATGAAGCAAAAGTGTGTCACTGAGTTCCTCCATGTGGAAAAATTGGCACCCACTGACCTTCACGGACATTTGCTGAAGTTTATGAAGATCAAGCTGTGGGTGTGAGCACAGTGAGATCGTGGGTGGTGTGTTTCAGCAGTGGCAACAGTGGGTCACCTCTGCTAACGCAGATTCTTATCTGCATTAAGCATTTAAGCACAATATGAAGGCTCTTGCTCATCGCTGGCAAAAATACATAGTTAATGGTGGTGACTATGTTGAAAAATACTGTTTTGTAGATAAAATTTATTCTAATACTGCTATTGTGTTCTTGGTATCTCTTGTGGTTTCCATGGAAATAAATAGGAGGCATTACTTTCAGAGTGACCTACATAGTTTCAAAGGCATTCAATTCTTTACTGTCCTTTTAATCACGAAACTTCTCACATCCAGTAAGCAGATTCACTGCCAAAAGAATCAGATCAGCTTACAGCATGCAACCAAAATGAAGTGAGTAAAGTATTATTTGCTGGATGTTTACCTGGTCTGAGCTGACTATGATAGGCTCTCGAAGAACAATCCAAGTGATGCACTCTTCACAAGGTGGAGTAGTGAAAGAACCGTGGTATGTCCAGTAGTCATGAGATTTAGGGAAAAGAATTGAAGGATCAAAGTTTGGAAAAGGAGCTTCTTTCCCCTTTAAAAACCAACAACAAAAAACAGAATACACACAAAAAAATTCAACAGCTCTAGTCAAGATTAGGTAAAGATTCAAGCCCGGCATTTTAAAAAACAGCATGACTCTTGTACATTAAAAACACATACATGGTCTGAAAAAAGCAGACATATAAACAACACAATCACAGAATCACAGAGTTGTCTAGGCTAGAGAACACCTTCATCATCAAGTCCAACCATTAACTTGACCTACCAAGATCCATCACTAAACTTTGTCCCTTTGTCCATGTCCAGACATTTCGAATACTGATACAGTGCAAAGGCAACTGGACTGAATAACCCTCACAGATGGAGAATGACACAACTCCATGGTACTACTTTTTAAACTTGGCCTAATTCATGTAAAGCAGCATTCCGTACCAAAGTGTTTCACTCCTTTCTGTGCAGAAATACTCTTCTTTCTGGCCTGCTTTCTCATGGCAATTCTGCCTATGTTATGAATTGGGTTAGGTCACTATACAATGAAGTAAGATGTATTTTAGATTTTTTATATTTGTGTTGATAACAAAGAAAACAGCCTAGCAAATGTATACTAATGGCGAGATTCTAATCACATGAAGTTCTCTGAGACACAGATGTTTAGTTAGTGGCACCATTAGAGAACCATTAAGCAGACTATCTCAAGGCAGAGTGAAGTATTTTCCAAAGGTGCCCTTTCTTCCTGGACGTCTACTTCAGGATTAAGATTGCATGTCTAGTTTTCAGGAGAGTGAATCTTGGTTAAATGATTCTCATTTACACAAAGTGTTGTAAGGCCCATTAAAGCCAATAAAGGCTCTTATGAAAGCAGGAAAAAAACAACTTTTCTTGCTAAGGAAAGTGACCCTTGATTTTATTCACAAGTATACTCTGGCAATGTTGCAAAGTTCAATCTGAAAACTACAAAGTCGTGCTTCCTGATGTTTTTTTATCCTGAGAATTCCCAGCAATCTTCTTATTAAAACAGTACAACATTGTTACCTTTGTTTTGATAGCGTTTATTTCTTCAAGAATTCTTTTCATCTCTGGTTTGGGTGTTTTCCCTACCTGTAAGGAAGAAACAATGAGCTATCCGAAGAGTTCTGCTTATCATTTCTCTTCTTTTTTGATATTCTTTACATGTGCATCCAAACACAAATCAACTATTAAATTATAATGCATCGACCAAAGCTATAACTCCTACCAGATAAGATACATCTTCTGTCTGCACCTTCTGTCTGTACCCCAATGGGTATTGTGATTCAAATGAGGAAATGACATCAGTATAGAAGCTCAGCATTGCAGATAATTTTGCAATGCAGTAATTCCTCTTGACATTGTATTTTAGCCTAAGAAAGGCAAAGAACTCTTCAGATTCAAGTACAGACTTAGGAAAAGTTTCACTCTAGTTTGAAATTGAGACATGATCACATCCACTGTTGACAACTGCTGATCTCAGAAAAATGCTGATCTGTTTTAACTCCAACATACATTAATTAAACAAGATATAGAAAAGGCCTGTGTTTCAAGCTAGGACTTCACGCCTTTAAAATAATTTCTTTTTTAAGGATGAGTTACATGTATAGTCTATGAGTTAGTTTTGCCTAGGAAAAAGTTCACAAATAGCTGAGAAGCAATACCTGTCCTTGAAATCAGCCTATGACTAGCACAACAAGCAGCTGACTGCTGTAGGTCCAAGGGCCACTACTGACACTGTGTCCCCAAAGCAAGGGAAAATACATCTGGATTTACAGCTTCCACCAGCCACTTAGTGACACTATAGCTGCTGGGACAAAGTACTAGACACCATTTGAAATAACATGACTCATACTCTGTAACTTGAAAAGCATGCACTATTGAAAGTCAAGCCCTTCAGTGTGATATGAACTCTAGAAAATATATTCAGAAGGTTTTGTTTTTTTAACCCTGCAAGAATAGAAAACTCTACAGTAGCAGTACAAAGGAGGAACAAGAGCTTCTACTTACTTGTAAAAAAATGGCCAAAACAGCTATACCATCTGTTCTTCTCACAGCATCAAGGTAATTACTGTATTTTGGATTCCAGTGTAATAAGTGTAGCTGAAAACAAAGAGATATAAAAACAGATCCATTAGTGAGTTGTAAGCCACCAGAGGTTGCATTTAGAGTTCTTCATGTATGTGAGAAATTTTGGGGCCACAAAGAATGAGGAGTAGGCCTCCAAAAAATTAGACAATTGAAACATGAATTATACCAATCACATTATCATTCAGAATATTATTTTTATTAAAAATAATCTACAAACACCTCAGTATATAAACAGCAAAGAAGAACAGAAGTCTCATCTTGAAGCTAAAGAAGAGAAACACATTTGAGTAGGCAGGCAGATTACCCATGTATATCAGAAATGATTTACCTATGTGATTCATTACAATTTTTTACAAATTACAGCAATTTTAGCAAAGAATTCATAAGAATATATGCTGTGTATATGATTGATCTACAGTTCTTATCTTCTCTTACCATCCTCAAGGCAGAAAATCAAAGTAGCATATATTCTTATTTCTGTGGCCACAATTCTTTGCTTTCATGAAGACACTACTCTTTCAGAATGGTGTTTTACTAAGTTTGCGTTGCTTCTCAGTAATTCAATCTTAATGTCCTATGTTTCAAGCTACAATGGCTTGAAAACATGGGAACTTTTGTTTGACACAATATTTTTCTTTTCTTGCATTGTGAATGAAGGAATTACTTTAGCTTAACTCACAATTATAAAAATCCATGGATGAAGAAAATGTCACAGATAAATAAAGTTAGACCTGCTCAAAAAGCAGACAAATCTTAATTCTTGCCTCCCTCCTCACTCTCCCCCAAGATAATGACAAATATTACTTTATACCTTATTTTAAAGTAAGAAGTGGTGACACTTACCTCTCCTGCATATCTCACTCCATTCACAACATGCTCAGAGCCATGGTCGTCAGATGAACCCCAGTGAAAGTGAAGCTGACGCAGCCGGTAGACCCCCTGAAGTGGCCCACCTCTCAACACTGCAATTGACAATCTGCATCAGCATTAGATTCAGATATATTTCAGCTTACTTTTAAGAAATGTATAGATTTTTAAAAATATTTACATACAATTACTGTACAGAAGTCCTGCATTCCCAGAGTACCATCTACATTTTGGAAATTTGCAAGAGCACTTCAGGCAAACATTTTCAGCCACAAGCACTTACAGTCAGCAAGTGTCTAGGATTTCATTATAGTCAATTGAGATCATTGTTTTAATTCCGCTGCATAGACGTGAGCAGCTGGGATATGCTGAAGGTGCCTGCACAGGGCTGGCAGATATGATACAAGATCTGTAGGAGAAATGTATATTTCTAGAGCAGCACCTGGAGCAAAGTGATACACATTATGTCATCAAAAACAGCATGAGATACCTATTGTTTAGGTAACTGAATTAAGCTCCTACTCAGAATAATTGAGCTGCTAAAGTAATTCTGCTTGCTTTAATCGGGCACTCAGGATGGTGACCTGAATTGCTCACTAGACTCCATTGATTCAGAGTGACTCCACCTCCAGTGAAAAAGAGTGATTTTAGATATGTAGCTCACCTACGTTTAAAAGCCCACACAGGACACCTAAGTTTAGGTGCCTTAATGTCCTTCTAAATTCCATCTGATATTTACCTATGTCAAAGCACACAGAAATATCCAGAAACTCTACAGACTGTGCCTGATACTGCAGACAATGACTAATTTGTTTAAAAAGCTAAGAAAACATTGATGCAGCTTCTGCTATAACGGCCACTTCTCCTGGCTATGGTAGCAGCGAACGAGCCAGAAAAGCAGTCACTGAGAATGCAAGCTACCGTCCTAAAAAAAAAAATTCAGCCTGTGAAAAGCAACAGTCATTCTAAATAATCTCAACATTTACACAGCAATGGAAGCAGAGGGTTTGAAAATAACTCACACTAAATAGGGAAGAACTTCTCAACATTCATCAAATATTAATTAATATTCAATTCTCATTTGTATTGTTTGGAGAGAAATTAATAAGCATTCCATTCAGCAGTTCTCAGGAAGTGGCTTTTATAGGTTAACGAAAAATATCCTTAAGTCTGGAAAGATAAGGAATAAAATCGATGGTCACCTCAAGAAATAAAGGACTAAGAACATAAAGAATACTTTTTACTGAGTATTAAGAGCACGCTGATACTCTCCACAAATGCCTTTTACTTGTTCCACAGACATGCAGTACCATGACTAATGCTGATACAGATACAGTAACAGTAGTAGCTAATAAGGCCATCAATCCTCCATTAAAATAGATCTGTAAGACCAAATAATCCAGTTTAAGACCAAAATGTGCCATTATTCACGCAGATGGGCCATCAGCAGACATTTTTGATCGGGTGTTGTGTGAAGCTCTGTTACCTCATGTCAACACATCGCTGCTTCACTCCTCTATAAATAGACTAATTTTTTCTTAGGACATTTTGAGCAGACAGAATGGTGCAAAGGTGGTGATAGCTATAAATCAACATTTCTCCACAAACAAAAAGGTGTTTTTTTTTTTTTTTTTTCTGTTTCATTGCAAGTGAATTGGCCAAGAAGGCCAGTGGCATTCTGGTTTGTATCAGAAATAGTGTAGACAGCAGGAGCAGGGAAGTGATTCTCCCTCTGTACTCAGCGCTAGTGAGGCCGCTCCTTGAGTACTGTGTTCAGTTTTGGTCACTACAAGAATGACATTGAGGCCCTGGAGCATGCCCAGAGAAGAGCAATAAAGATATGAAGGGTCTGGAGCACAAGTCTTACAGGGAATGGGTGAGGGAACAGCTGTTGCTTAGTGTGGAGAAGAGAAAGCTCAGGGGAAACCTTATTGCTCTCTACAATGATATGAAAGGAGGTTGTGGGGAGATGGGGGTCGAACTCTTCTCCCAGCAATAACAGCAATAGAACAAGAGGTAGTGGCTTCTAGTTGTGCTTGTGCCAGGGGAGATTCAGGTTGGATACTAGGGAAAATTTATTCTCAGAAAGAGTGGTAATGCACTGGAACAGGATGCCCAGGGAGGTGGTGGAGTCACCATCCCTGGAGGTGCTCAAGATACATGTGGATGTGACACAGAGAGACATGGTTAGTGGTCATGGTGGGAGTGCATTGACAGTTAACCAGATGATCTTGTAGATCTTTTTCAACCTTAATGATTCTACAAGTGCGCAGTATATAAAAAAGAAATATATGGAATGATAATTTAAATAGAAATTACCACAGTAAATGAGTCTCCTATGCTTCAAGAAGTATAAAATATAATAGTTACAAGAACTAAGTTTTCTAACATCTAGAACAAAACAGTCCAAAGCAGTGTCTGTACAGCTCCAAGTTAATGAAAGGAATCTTCATTTTGATTAAACACACGGCTTGGAACATAAATTCTAAAGGTATCTCCATTCTCCTGGAATTTTATTTTCAGAAAATGCTAATAAACTCACACAATATACCAGTTTGAAAAAGAGTATGAGATCAGATCCAGAAAAAAAAAAAAAAAAAAAAACTTGCTTTCTACTCTGTCCCTCATGAGCAGCATAAGACAATGGGCTAAACATCTCTTCTCATTCCTAGTGTGGTCAGCTGTGCAGGTACTTGCCCCAGAGAAAACACAGGAGGATGCAGCCTAGACCAAATTATGCCTACACAAACACCTTTCTTGGTGGAGGTGAAGACACCCTATGGGAGTGGAAAAACATTTGATTCTGCACCAAACAGAATCGCAGAATCACAGAATCACCAAGGTTGGAAAAGACCTTCAAGATCACCCAGTCTAATCATCCACCTATCACCAATAGTACTCACTAAACCGTGTCCCTCAACACAAAATCTAAATCTTCCTTGAACAGACTCATGAAGCCAGTTGTGTTTATAAACAGGGCAAGAACTAACTGCTCTTACAAGGTTCACCATTCTCACATGCTGCCAAATCCATAAGTGGATTCCATAGTGAAATGAAATTAGTAAGGCATTACTGCAAGACAATTGAAGGCCGTAGCCTCAGAAGGCCCTTAGCTGTTCAAGCATTTATAGCTTCAACAGTAATGTAGAAGTCCAAAGCCAACAGAAACTCGATTACTAAATCCCCTGAACCCAAGCTCTGCACTGCTCATTAACGCTCAATAACTTCATGAAAACACTACAAATGATAAAAGTGCTAAGCACCAAAGGAAGAATTTATCTTTGCAGCCTTTAGCGGTATGCAGTATACCATCTAGTGGTATGCAGCATAGCTACTGGGGCACACAAGCATTGGCATTAAGCCGTGCTATTTCTGTAACATCTACTGACTTGTTCTAGTATCACTTCAGCACCCAGGATTTAACCAAATCTACAGCATGCATGGAAATGCTTGCCAGTTAAAGTTACTGGCTTTTGTCCTTTTTGTAGAAAAAAATCAACCAATATATGTTTATTCATCAGAAGTTGATAACAAAATATTATTTTAACAGAGATAAATGAGATTTCCTACAAGGTGGTACTCTTAGAAATGGTGTCCACAAGAGCTAGTCATGCTAAAGAAAGATAAGCAACAAGCTCTACTTACAGTAACAGTCTGCCTTTGATAAGAAAGCAAGAGATTCTCCAAAAAGCATCTAGGCAGCCTTATAAAAAGTGTGCCTGCACAGTGGTACTCCAAGCCCTTAAATGCCAACCATCAGAAACTCATTAAAAGGATAAGCAGGAATCCACTTTGGCCAGTGAACTTCCATGAAGTACATTAAAGAGATAAAAAAAGGACCATTTGACATAGCCTTAACCTATCTTTCTCCAAGGGTCTGTGTTCCAGAAAAAGACTTGCACATCTTTACTGTTTATTTAATGATTGAACATTTGACCTAACCCGTTGTCCACAGAAATGACAAATAAAGCTGCAGTCATTGGTGCTAAGAAAGTTAGAAGATGCAGAACTCATACAGCATCATGATAACGGTCCTTTCAGTTAGATGGTTTCTCCTCTGATTAGATGATTCTCCTCTGGTGCTAATATTTTTGGGAATTCTAAAAGCAAAGAGACTCTGCTAGTAGAAATAATACTACAGTCCTGTTTCAAAACAAAACAGTTACTGTTGGATCTAAAGGAATATCTGACTTGCCATTCCAGCCAATAAATGTGGCAGTGGTGTGTACCTGCTAAACAGGTAGGCTGCCGAAGTACCCGAGTTTTGGTGCAGGGTTTTCTTGCAGCCGCCAAAAGGTGGCACAACGACCTTCGTCAACACAGGTATGGTAAGAGAGACAACTGAGTCCATAATGATCCATTAACATTCACAGACAAGTAGCAGAGACACAACACAGCTCCAAAAGCAAGTATTTGACAGAAATGCCTGGAGGCATTCAAGGCCAGGCTGGATGTGGCTCTGGGCAGCCTGGTCTGGTGGTTGGTGACCCTGCACATAGCAAGGGGGTTGAAACGACATGATCATTACGGTCTTTTTCAACCCAGGCCATTCTATGAAATGTCTTCAGTTATAAAGCAGATTCTTGAAGTAAACCAATATTCATAAACTGCAGGAGTAGGTCCAAAGATAAAGTGATAAGGCCTCTGCAACATAAAATGTTAATTACATTGGACCACACATTGGTCCAGAACATTCTTTCCAATAATTTGAGTTTAAAAAACTGTCCAAATGGTGCATACTTAAAGTTTTCCTAGCAGAGGAAATACAATGAAAGTAAAACTCTGAAAGGTCATTTGCAATTTACTTAGCAATAAGAAAGGGTATAGCCCTATTTTATCCACCACTTATGAAAATCTAGATTAAGTACAGACACAAATATGCTCTAACCAAAAAAGTTACAGAAATAAAAGAAGCCTTTGTTTTCTGGCTAACTCAGAAATAATTTAGATAGATAGAATAATAGATGAATGGATAGGTAGATAGAGAACGGTTTTGTTCCAAGGGATTGAAGCATTCAATTTGCTATGATTGTTATTATATAGTCTATTATATATTATATATTATATAATATTATATATTATAGTATGCAGCAGGTGGTAATTTCACTGGGAAAATAAGTTACTATACATATCAAAAGAAACTTAAAACTTGTTCAAGTCAGTAGAAGCATGCAGAGTGGAATACGTCCTGCAATTAACACTATATTAGAAAAGGAACACCACCTACAGACTGCAGATAATGGTATAACAAAAAGGCCGTAACAGTAAACACTGAATGCTTCTTGCCTTCAAAGACATCAAAAATACACCTACTTTTCTTCCAATGAGTCACTATTTCTGAGATCAGAGCACAGCAGTTACTGAGTAGTTTTCTGGAAAAAAAAAAAAATCAGCACATTCCAAACCTTTCTGCTCTTTCTAGCCAAAGTGTATGTATTGCTCTACCTATACACTCCCCACCATGCACAACTTGAGTAATTGTAAAAGTAACTGATGTTAATGCAAGAGATGCAATGACTGATATATCTGATGCTGTTCCAGCACGTAATGGAGATGGTAAAAAAAAAAAAAAGAAAAGGTAAGCAATGGTCACAGATCTTCACATATGCCACAGCAACATGTCGTTACTGATGTGTACTGCTATCTGACATTAGGAATAATATTTTTATACAAATAACAGTAAATATTCCCATTTTGCTACAAAGTTAATCAAAGACTTCATACTCCTGAGTTATGAGTGTATTGACAAGTTCAGCTTACATAACACATTTTTATACTCAGTTTTCATGAAACCCAAGTCATTAAAAAACCAACTTAAATTAGTGCATGTAGATATTTAAGACCAACAAACTTATTAGCAAAATTTCTCCTACTAGTTATTGTAGTCAATCTTAATTATACTGTAGTGGTAAATGAAGCTTATAATATAATTAAATTTAAGTCTGTGCACTGCAGAAAACAGACTTTTAATATTTTACCAAAATGGACATCTTTTTCTTACCAACTCGTGCTATAAATAACACAATTCTGTTGACCTCAATAAAAGAATAAAGACAGAGGTATGCATTTGATTTTTTCCTTTTATCTCAGTACTAAAGCAATTCCATACTTCTTTAATGTAAGGTTTTTTCCTTTGAAATATAGCCAACAGTATCAACATGAAACTTCAGTGGTTATGCCAACAAGCCTAATACTTCTAGCACCTGTTGAAGAGAACAGATATAACTCTTCTAAATACATGGCCCCACTAATTCTTAAAAGGTATGCATTATATATGCAGCATACACTTCATCTTGTAGTAACTGTGAGTAATAAGATTAAGGATTTTGGACACCAGAACATTTTGGACATTGAAGATGAAGCACTGGAATTCCTCAGCCTTCTAATTAAGACAAAATCTCACAAATGCTAAGGGGCATTTTAACTGATTAAATAAAGTGATTAGGTGGCAACATCTGATCTGTTACTCCATTTATTAGAAATCACTCAAGTACAGTATTCAAATATTGTGACTTCAGCCACATACACAATTACAGATATTCTTCTGTGCATCTCAGATAGCCTTGTATGGAATTCAGTCCCCACAGGCAAAGCCTGGACTCTGTGCCCCTAGGAAGCAACACACCAGCACCAGCCTTTGCAATTGCAGAAATTTACCCTTCACCTTAATTTATCCTGCATCAAGCTTTTCTGCAGCTCTCTTCATTCCCTAGGATTTTACCTACAGACTTCAAAAGTAGTCTCACACCTTTCCTGTCAGATGTGCGGGACGCTGTAGGCACAGAATTCAGCATGCCACATGCAGGCTCTACACAAGGACCTCCTGACAGCCATGAGCACTCAGAGTACTCTTTCACCCAATTTGAGAAATATATGCTGATGTACAACAACAGCTCAAGCTGAAAACAAAACTAACCTGATCTATCAAAAGAATCATCAAACACAACTCTGCAGGTTTTCCCATTATTGAGGATGGTCTTTGCTGCACCAGGATCGTAACTAGCAAACCAGGGCAGCAAGGAGCGGTCATAGTGCACTTCTTTGTTATTGATCTCAATGGGGGACTGATGGCGTCCTTTGGCAGTAGGGTAATTTTTGTGCCATTGATCTGGTCCTAGAAAAAAAAATCAGAGAAACATCATGAAAACCTCTTCTAGCTCGGTACAAATTACATTGTTTCACAATGAATGGAAGGTTGGCACTGCTGAGCTATGGCAGTAAAAGTATTAATAAGTGGATTGCTAACAGCAGGCTGTTAGTCATGAGCTGTCAAAAGCAGCACTGTGTTACAAGCATTTAGATCACTGTAGCTGGACTATGACTGCACATTATTCATCTGAACCAAGCTTGCATCACAAACTGCACTTTTTTCTTACTAGGAGCCAGACAACACTTCAAGAGGAAACCAGAGATGGATATGGACCAAAGTCCAGCAGCGCCCAGAAACATGATACGATACACCCATTGACCCCACCATGACAACACGAACTCAACCGGAGACAGACAAAGCCAGCGGCAGTCAGCTGTCAGTGCCGGCCCGGCACGCTGCCTGGCCCCGCGCCCTCTCACCGTTGTCGCCGTCGTAGCCCCACGGGTAATAGTTGGGGTTGATCATGGCGCCGCGCTGCCCCTCGGCGCCCCTCGGCAGCTCCGGAGGGACGGCGGCTTCGCATCACGGCGGCTTTTTATACGCTCCCGCTAACTCCATGCCCTTCCCCGCAGAGAGGAGCAGCGCGGCCCCGAGCGCCGGGGGCGGGGAGAGCCGCGTTCCCTCGCCCCGCCCGCCCTGGCCCCGCTGGGTGCGGCGCGTGGGATGGCGGCGTGGAGCAGCGCGGCGACGCGTGGGAAGGGCGGTGTCGCTCCTCAGCCGTCCTCAGACGTACGGGGACGGAATCGCTGCTCTGTGCTGGGAAGGCCACCCCGGTGTGCTGCTGCCTGCCCCAGAGAGAGGAGGGTATAGAAGTGTGTGAAGCAGCTCCAAACTGTCAAAGAGAGCAGTCCAAATCCTTCCCAGATTTGGACAGCTTCAGGCCAGTACAGGTCTGGAGCTGTGGGCTCCATCAGCTCGGTTCTCCCTCTCGAGCAGGTGCTGTGCTTCACCTGTGTGCAGCAGTACAGGCCTGCCCTGCTGCTCTGCCCCCACGTTTCTCCAAGGTTGCTGGGCTCTTTAGGGCTGTTTCTGGAAAGCCCGTTGTCTGTAAGACTGCATCTGGATCAATCAGACCGGGTGTCCTCCGAGGAGCCGGGTTAGCTGTGTGTTCCCCACCTGTGTGTATTAAAGCACAGATTCAGAGGTCAGCTGAGGATGAGACACCACGTCCAACAGCTTCTGTGCACAAGCAGCTCTCACAGATTCACACCCATCCCCATAAAATTTCCACATATACAGCTGGAATCCAGCATGGCTCCCCAGCACACTGCCTGCCAACGTTAACATAAACAGCTTCCCCACTGCGTCTCAGTGGAGTTAGTTGTCCCTGGCCTTTATAAATGGACTGGGTCTTACTGCAAGGGTTCTTAGTGGAAATCCTGCCTGCTCCAAACAAAACCTTAATTGTCAAATTAAGCACAGGATCTGTTTGTTTTGCTTTAGCTCTAATTCTCTTTTCATTTAGCAGGGTGTTAATGCATCAAATTGCACTTAAAATTGTGAGCATACTTAGCATGCGTACGCTCCTTAGGTGACTTGTGTGTGACACACAGTACTCAAATGGCTTCTAAGAAATATTTGTTGTTCTGGCACAGCAGGAATTATTAAGAGAGTTAGATAAGACAGACATTAGCACCAGTGCTGTAAAGTGAACCAAGGGACTAATGAGGCAGAGAAAACATTGCACTGAAAGGGGAACTACTGTGGTATAAGCTTTAGTAGACATTCTGAATAAAAACTTGTTAATAGTAATGAAGGGAAAATGACATCTTTCTGTACTTATACCTCAGACAGGCATACATCAAGAAATGAAAAGAGTGACTGAAGCTGAAGAACCAAGTCAGCCAATGAACAGATACAGACACATGTCACCAAGAAACAGAGCCAAGATGACTGCTGAATGTTTGGAGGCACCCAAAGTGGTCCATTAGCTTTTTAATAGGAAGGTGGGGACATGAACAGTGTACACAGGAGCTATGTATTTATGCCCTATAGAGCACACGTACTATTTCCCACTTCCTCCTTTTGTTACTCCTGTTTCACCATCTTCTCACTACCTTGGCCCACAGAGAAATCTCCAGGTGCAGTGCATCTTCTTGTGACTCAGAATGTACTTGCCTGTCTTCTAGATGGAGATACATTGCAAATGTAACCACAGCCCATATGAAGTAGCCGAGGGTATGAAGAGAACCCTGAAATAGTTATAAGAACTCTATTTCCAGTTCAGCATTCAATCACCTGGAACCTACTCTCTTCACATTTTCCAGTTTTTCAGTGTATTTTTGTTAAAACAGCTTTATGTTTCTTCTTAAAGCCAAATTAGCAGTAAGTCAGGGAAACCACAGTGAGAAGATGTTTGGGAAGAAGAAAAATAAAAGAAATGCAGTTCTGTTGTATGTGTACAGACTCACACATTGAAGCTAATCAGTGAGTTTCATGTGCCCCATATAAATATTTCCTCAACCTTCTTTTTTTTTCTTTTTTTTTTTTTCTTTTACAAATGTGTGCCCTACACCCTTTCAGGAATCTCTCCTAGGTCACCGCTTTCTCATAAGATATTGTTAGGGCAGAATTAAACTTCGGGACTCTTAGGTATCAACCTGTGAATTTGTGCACTCACAGAATAACTTGTAGATTACAAGGGTGCACGCTGTGCCCCAGCAGCTCTCTCCAGGTTGAATATTCACTCCTGTACTCTTCAGAAAGTCCCAAAGTAGAATAACTTAAGTATGTTGACCTTAGTAGCAGAAAATCTCTTTTTCTGCTGAAAGAAAGCTATTAAAAATCTTCGCTGGGCTTTCTCGTTGCTGGACATGGCCTAAGTTCTCTACACGCTACAGACAAGAGAAGTGTTATAAGTAAATGTACAGATGGCATTGAAAACAAAAGTGACAATTAAATGTAGTCTAAAATGGAGGCTGAAACTAATAGATTTTTCACAGAGCAAAAGGACATTCAGTACTGGACAATTACATATCCCAGTCTGCTACAAATCAGATTACGTTATGCCCATTGAAGTCTCCAGTGCAGAGATACTAGATTCAGTGAAATACTTTTTAAGGCATCATGGCAATAACTGCTTTTAAAGTGGTAGGAGTTACAGTAGAAAAAAAGAAAGCAAATATATCAACATATTCTCTATGTGATCTGCATGATACTCTATGGGAAAAAAAAATGTTTTCCCCCAAAATATGCTCTATTCACATGCATATTTATAGACTCTATTACATCCTAGGATTATTACTGTTGCTATTTACTCTTTATGTTTAGCTGTAACAGTCAGAGGACATATCATGCTATATACCCCACAAATACATAATAAGGCCCTCTTTAAAGGCCCAAAAGACAGGTGGGAAAAAGGCGGGCAGTCGGGAGTACTAAGAGTAGCTCATAATTACAAAGCAATTTAATGACATAGTATGATACAGGATTCCAAGATTCTTGATGATTTATCCAAGGCACAGATCACTAGAAATTTGAGTTAAAAACAAAACGCTGGTTTTCAAATTTCTTGCTGAGGTACAGAAATTTATTTCAAGGCGGAATGCAAGTCACAATTTGTTGGGTCCTGTCCTTGTGCTGGAACTAATGAATCTGCTGCTTTAGACAATGGCAACACGAGATAAAACAAACAAACAGATTTGATTTCTGATTTAAAATCCATTTAAATAGTACTGAGTTCAAAGATAAAAAGCAGACGTGAGGTTAAGAAGTCACCGAACAACATCAATCCTTTAAAAAAGTAAACAGGCACATTCAGTAGACAGAATCCTGTAAGCTTTCTAGGAGAACATCTATTGTGGTGTTACTGTAAGATCACTCACATGGCATGCAAACTGAATCAAAGTCTCCATTCAAGAATGAAAATTGAGTTGAGCTATCTGCTCATGTCTGCTCTAGCATTGAGCCATTTAAAAAATTATTTAAAAAAATATTTAAAAATTATAGTAGAAATCTTGCCCCCAACCTACATTTTTGAAGGATTTAAATATATCAGAACTGAAAGTTTTGCAGTATTGCTAGTTAGAGGAAAAGTCCTTTGACAGAAAGCACAGCATGAATCCACATTGCTTACATGTCATGAAGAAGTGCTCAACAACAGTATCTTCTGTGTCAGTATACTAAAAGCAGTGGGAGAGCAGATCTGCAATTGTGAGGATCCATCAACCAAATCCTTGATGCTACTGGTGGTGATAGGGACAGAGATACAAAAACTACTTCCAGGAATAGATAATAGGTTGTCTTTGCTCATGTTTCATAACGCACTTTGATAGAATGGAGGAGGTTGCTATTTCTAGCAATCCTGACATAGAGATTCCTCGCAAATTACTTTGTTTAAACTTTCTAAGGGGACCAGGAATTAGTGCAAGGTCCTTGACTGATTAGCAGACTATCACCTCTGTATATTGTTTCCATCTCTCTTGATTATTCATTTCTGCTTTGCTTTGCTTTGCTTTCTGTAAGATAGAAAATAATTAGAATGTGTGGTCTCTCATTTTGACTAAGTACAAAAGTAATTCCAGTTCAAAGAGGCAGAAGCACATCGCTGGCCAAGAGATTTACGTTGTGCAGTTATATTTGCTTGTCATACATTTGTTGTTTGGACTGTATTAGTTTCTTAGTATTATGTGTTTCCACATAATGCTAATCATGGTTAAAACCGGGGCTTTGTTACGGGAGGTGAAGAAATGATTAGAAGCTTATTCTGAATTTGTATCCAGGGCATGCACAAAACTGCTTTAATAATAGGATAACTACATTCATAGTATCAGTCTAAGAATTGCTATATTTCTCAGTAGCATAAATTTATCCATACTGACATTTTACTGAAGACATGAGGAAGAAGCCAAGAAGCTATGACATTATCTAGACACATCTGGGGGTCAAATTATATAGTCAGGGAAAATGTGTAGCATTGCCAGTCTCTTTCTTTCATATTAAAAAAGTGAAGAGTGGGATATGACTGGTATTTTTGTAGTTCCTGTTATGAAGCCTAGGAAGAACCAGGCCCTGCTGTGTTAGCTTGTTAAACAACTCTCATCCAAAGAATTTTATGAATTGCATGCCTTGTTTTCAGAACTAAGTGAGGAAAGAAATAGAAAGATTGATTAAGAAGGTCTACTGTTGCACTAGAGAAATTCAGTCTTCCATTATGAGGCAGATCAGCTGCAATTTGCTAAGACCTCTTTCATTACGTGTTTCTACTTATAACCCAACACAGGATTTGGCTGATTCATATAAACACTGATTTATACTGCATTTTCAATTCAAGTATTTCCCCCCCCCCCAAAAAAAAAATCCCAAATATTAATATGTACTAAGAATCATGGCCAGCAGGGTGAGGGAGGTGATCCTGCCCCTCTACTCTGCTCTGGTGAGGCCTGATCTGGAGTACTGCACCCAGATGTGGAGTCCTCAGTACTGCAGAGACATGGACCTGTTGGAACGCATCCCGACGAAGGCCACAAAGATGATCCAAGGGATGGAACACCTCTCCTATAAGGACAGGCTGAGAGAACTGGTGCTGATCAGCCTGGTGAAGAGAAGGCTTTGGGGAGACCTGGTAGCAGCCTT